TCCTCTTCCCCCTCTCTCCCCCCCCCCCCTCTCTCTCTCTCTCTCCTTCCTCTCTCTCTTCTCTCTCTCTCCCCTTCCTCTCTTTCTCCTTCCTCTCTCTCTCTCCCCTTCCTCTCTCTCTCTTTCCCTTTCTCTCTCTATCTCTCTCCTTCCTCCCTCTCTCTCCTTCCCCTCTCTCTCTCTCTGATTGGACAAGAAGCCCCCTCCATTCTGATCGTCTGGGAAGCTGGCTTCCTGGCCGATCAGCATCAAAGAGGCCAAACAGCCAGCTCGATGCTCATTGGCTGGGAAGCCAGCTTCTCAGCCAAACAGCATGGAGCTGGCTTGCCGAGCAATCAAAAAGCCGGGCAGTAGAAAATGAAAAAGTCCTGAAACATCACATACAGGACTCAAAAGCCGGACCGTCCAGGTGAATCCGGGACAGGTGGCAACCCTATGGCCTACCCCTGAAGCAAAGCATTACAACCGGGATCATTGGAATGCGAGTGCAATGCTCTGCCTCCTGCAGATTATCTCTCCTATCCCATTCAGTCACAGGGACAGGAGGAAGAATGAAAAGTTCAAAAGTTTACCGCCGGTCATGCTTATAACGGGGACCTGAACGCCATTGGTGGATCTCCGGGCTTTTGCACACAGGGGCCTCTTCTTGGAGTGCTGGCCATTTTCCGTACATTGGTTCACACAGCATCACCACAGCCATTGCACCCGATACACCCAGGGCACGTGAAGGACGGGTTGATAACAACAAAGCAGGAGTAGGCTGTGGTGAAAATACAAATCCCAGCATGCATCTGCCTCTGGGAGTCACGCCTGTGGCTGTCAGAGCCTTGCAATGCCTCATGGGACTTGTAGTTGCACCGCAGCTGGAGGGCCGGAGTTTGCCTACAGGGCTGCTAACCCTTCCCCACTCTATCCAAAAGTGCAATAACGTCTACCAACCAATCAGCATTGACTATGACAAGATTCTGCGGCCCTTCAAGTCTACTCTCTTTCTCTTGCAGTCACCAGAGAACAGAGGCCGTGCTGCCATTAGTCCCGCCCACGAGGAACCCGGTATTCATTTCTGTGTAAGGCCGTCATCGAAGTCAGCGATGGCTAAAGAGGTCGCCTTCCGGGACACCCCCCGGCCCCCCGACATTGACCTCAGGAAGTACAAGCAGCGTGACCTGTCACAGACCCTCTTCTTCAAGGTGGCTTGCAGGACCTTTGGACCACCGAAGTCGCGGATCCGCCGCATTGTTGCCCCTCCCATGCAGAAAGTGGAGTTCGATGCAGAAAGTGGAGTGAATCTTACAGGGAAGTCATCTGCAGGTTCCGGAGTCACCGAGACCCCGCGGGAGGATCAGATGCCGGGGACCGAGGGGGCCGAACAGAACGTTTCCGACTGGATATCCGAAAGAAAGAAACTGAGGGCGCAACTGGACAGTATGGGGGACCTGGAGAGATGGCTGCAGGGAAAACCCGACCTGACCGCACTGGAGACGCGGGTGCGAGATAAAATGGCAGAGAGGCGTTCGAAAAGTCAGATGTCCCAGCAGACCAATCAGGACACAGCGGGTTCTGTAAGTTTTCCTACCTACCAACAAACAGGATTTACAAAACATAACAAAACTGCAGGCAGGAGGAGCATTTCCTCAGTCTCCCCTTCCCCAGTGATCAGTCTGCTGCAGGCCGGAGGAAGCATTTCCTCAGTCTCCCCTCCCCCAGTGATCAGTTTGCTGCAGGCAGGAGGAGCATTTCCTCAGTCTCCCCTCCCCCAGTGATCAGTTTGCTGCAGGCAGGAGGAGCATTTCCTCAGTCTCCCCTCCCCCAGTGATCAGTTTGCTGCAGGCAGGAGGAGCATTTCCTCAGTCTCCCCTCCCCCAGTGATCAGTTTGCTGCAGGCAGGAGGAGCATTTCCTCAGTCTCCCCTCCCCCCGTGATCAGTCTGCTGCAGGCCGGAGGAAGCATTTCCTCAGTCTTCCCTCCCCCAGTGATCAGTTTGCTGCAGGCAGGAGGAGCATTTCCTCAGTCTCCCCTCCCCCCGTGATCAGTCTGCTGCAGCAGGAGGAAGCATTTCCTCAGTCACCAATCCCCTACTGATCAGACTGCTGCAGGCAGGAGGAAGCATTTCCTCGGTCTCCCCTCCCCCAGCAATCAAACGGAAACATTGTAACATTGTAGCAAGTCACAAGATGAGAGGATGCAGCAGGGGCTGATCTGTGTCAGACATTTGTGAACACAGCTAAGATTTACTCACCTGATCCTCGGCCCCGCATCGGTCAGCACTCCCCCCCCCCACTTCGCTCCGGCTGTGGAATGCCCCTCGGCGTCCTCACATCGAATGCAAGCCAATGGACTTGATGGCACCAGTGGTCCCTAGACTGCCGGAGCACTGGGGGGAAAAGAGGCTGGGGGGACGGGTGTAGCAGCTCGGAGGAACCGAGGATCAGGTGAGTATATCTGCTTTATTTGGGGCCCCCCTAGACCAAATGAGCACTTAACCTTTGCAGTGCCGGAGGGGGGTAGCCCCACCGCAAGGGTACCATTTTTAATTTGTCCGGAGTTCTTCTTTAATGGTTGTACTGTTGCCCTGGACTTACAGGCCCCACACCATAGAACCAAAATCTGCCACATCTTGCACTGCTGAGGGCTAATAATGACGAAACAGCTGTGTGCGGATTGGTCTAGCTATGGCTGCCTCCATGATCCAATCACCAGCAGTCATGGGTGCACAGATGGCTCCGCCCACCTACCCATAAGCAGAGACTGAGCTCCGCAGGGGGAGGTCACTAACACCGGAGCAGCTGTGCACAGCAACCAATCAGCTTTTCTCTTCAGTTTGTTCAGTTCAGCTTTGAAAATGAAATCTTGAAGCTGATTGGCTTCCGTGCTCAGCTGCTCTAGAATCTATCTGCTCCAGTTTTAGTAAATTGGGTTTTGCACTAGAAATTTAGGAATATCCGCCCCCCGAGGTCCTGTGCCACGCCCCTAGTTACTTATATCTCTTCCTTTGATGCTGCAGGTGGTGCAGCGCAACGTTCCGAGGAGCTCCCGGCACAGCGCGGTCGCGCCTTCCATCCAGCAGCCCGACCCGGAAGCTCTGGCCATCCTGGACCGATACCTGCATCAGCACCGCCTTCGTCTTGTCGACCTTTACAACCAAACGGACAAGAGGAAGAGGAAGGAGATCTCCAGCAAGGACCTGAAGTCCGTCCGGAAAGAGGTGATAACCATGTGTATTCCTTCCAGATCTGTGCAGTCATCCAGTGTGAGACTTCCTGTAATAAAGACCGCTCACTACTGCTCTCTCTCCTGGTGCAGTGTGACCGGTCTTGTCTCCGCCCCCTCCTGTAATATAGACCACTCACTGCTGTTCTCTCTCCTTGTGCAGGGTGACCGGTCTTGTCTCCGCCCCCTCCTGTAATAAAGACCGCTCACTGCTGCTCTCTCTCCTTGTGCAGGGTGACTGGTCTTGTCTCCGCCTCTCCTGTAGTTTTCTATAGTGGGTGGAGCCTGCTGGGTCCCTCCCACAGCTCTGTACAGAACAGTGTTGATATCACTGCTACTTTTACAATGTAAAATTTGGGATTGCAGAGGCCTTTGGTGCATGCGATGTGGATTTATATCCTTATTGGCTATTGAGGAATATATTGGATTAAAGGAGAACTATGGGGTCAGTGTTTTTCCCCATGGTTCTCCTTAGGGTAACGGGAGGACACAGACTAGCGTCCTGCCGTCACCCAAATCTCAGTATATAGGGAGCTACAGCTCGGGGTATACTGAGACGCCGCAGACAGAACAGATCCCGACATTACTGTTGAGATCCGCCCAGCTGGCTGAGTGACACCTGGCTCTGCCTATCTAGAGGCAGAGCCAGCTGTGCCCAGGCCCGGATTTCCCACAAGGCCACCGAGGCCGGGCCTCGGGGCGGCAGAGCGCCGACGGGCGGCAGCGGTGACCTTGTGGGGAAGTTGCGGGCTCCGGTGTAAGGTGTCCGGTGGCCGCACACTACGGTCCTCCCCCCAGCTATCAGATACTTCCTCCGGTGATCGATCGAAAGTTCCAACTTATCGAGTTCTGGGACCGCATTACTCCCGTTTTCCTTAGAACTACGAGGTTTGCACACAAAACTTCTTCTGCACGAGCGCCATCGCCCTATACACATGCACCACAGCAATAAAGTAATAAAATGAAGTGGGATCACAGTAATCAAGCACGTTATTCATCTCCGGTGCCCTGGGGGGGGGGCATATTGTGGAACCTGGCCTTGGGGCGGCAGGTGGAGTAAATCCGGCCCTGGCTGTGCCCGCCCCCTCCCATCCCGTTCCTCCAGTCAGCACTGGAGGATCGGACAAGGGAGGGGGGGAATCCTTGCAGGGAGCCGTGAGTGACAGTGACGGCTCTCTGCAGGGACAGGATCGAGAAGTGAGCGAGCGACGGTATGTTTTCCCTCACTTCCCCATCTATTGAGTCGACGTGTGACAGTTTCATTGTCACAGGTCGGCTCCAACTATGAGGCTGAGTGGAAATCACTCATCTCATAGTTCTCCTTTAAAGTTTTTTTGTGGCCGGAGTTCGGCTTTAATTCTTCAGCATCCTCGAAAATATCTACAAAATATTTTTCAGAGCAATGTCATCGAAGCGTAAGGAACCCGCAGGAGGATTATAAGATGCTTATCACGCGGCAGGCCTAGGAAGCCATCACTTTATTTCTCTCGTTCTCTTCCAGGCCGACATCCCGCTCAGTGATTTGCAGTTCGATGGTCTCGTCATCTCGCTGGGAAGCAAAAACCCGAATCATATGAACTACAAGGAGCTCAGCGTGGGCCGGCACCTCTGGTGGAAGAGGAACATGGAGGAGCAGAGGAAGGGGGAGTCTGTCTGTCCGAAGACGGGAGGTACACTGTGACCAGACATTGGAGGGGGACAGGGGGGGCAGATTTGGCTCTGATGGGGAATGACGATCAATACCAAAATGATCATTTCTATATATATACATTCCTGACATAGTATACAGCAACAGCCTCCAAGTCTACACGTCTCCAAGCTGTGTGTATAGGGAAAGGAAACCTTTATCAAACCAAAGGTGGGAGGATTACCCTAATGCTGACCTCCAGCCTTCCCTTCCGTCTTCTATCTGACCTCCGTCCTTCCCTTCAGTCTTCTATCTGACCTCCGTCCTTCCCTTCAGTCTTCTATCTGACCTCCGTCCTCCCCTCCAGTCTTCTATCTGACCTCCGGGCCTTCCCTTCACTCTTCTATCTGACCTCCGTCCTTCCCTTCAGTCTTCTATCTGACCTCTGTCCTCCCCTTCAGTCTTATATCTGACCTCCGTCCTTCACTCCAGTCTTATATCTGACCTCCGGGCCTTCCCTTCACTCTTCTATCTAACCTCCGTCCTTCCCTTCAGTCTTCTATCTGACCTCCGTCCTCCCCTTCAGTCTTCTATCTGACCTCCTTCCTTCCCTGCAGTCTTCTATCTGATCTCCGTCCTTCCCTTCAGTCTTCTATCTGACCTCCGTCCTTCCCTTCAGTCTTCTATCTGACCTGATTACTATCGGAACCAGGGAAGGTAAAATAGTTTCCTGACACCAATACATGGCAGCATACAATAGGTATGGCTCCGCCCCCAGCCATTGTATGCTGCCATGTATTGGCGTCAGGAAAGGAAAATTACCGATAGGTAAGTATACAATTTTCCGTTGTATATGCAGAACAAACCAAAAACAGCCAAAAAAAACTGTTTGACCTTCAAGATCCCTGGGGATCGAGTTCGGGTTGAGTGACCTTCTCACATAAAAAGTAAGTGTTGAGGAGCCTCTTTTTTTAGCCTCTTGTGAAATCCTTTAATATGAATAATAATGGAAATATTTCCGTTTTTGCAGCCTCCGTGCAGTTTTTCCGGCCTCCCAGTGATCAGAGAAGTGACTCCGGTGACACGAAACCCTCCTCGCCTCTCTCCGTCTCTCTGCGCAGCGGAGGAGACACCAAGTCGAGGTCTCAGCCGGGCCGCAGTGATCAGAGCGAGGCCGGTAAACCGCAGTTCCTTCAGGTGCCTCCCGTCAGTCTGGAGGAAAAGAGGCCGCTCAGCTACAAGGACATGGAGGAGATCGGGAAGAATTATCGGGAGAGGAAGAGAAGGGCCAAGGTGAGTCTATGAGACTTCTATAGGGGGTGGAACCGCCATCTAGTCTTATAGTCACTGCTTGGCTCTCCAGCCTGAGCCGGCCGGGTTGCATTCCAGAGGCCGGACGCACTGGAATACCTAACCTGGCAGAGGGTATAACCCTTCCCTTATCCATACTAAGTCAAAGAAGAAGATCATTGTCCCTGCATACTAAGAATGGATATCGGAATTTTTGGCTCCGCCCCCCATAGGTGATGGTTCTTTACAATGAAAATGTTCCTTTGTAATCTTGATTTGTTCCATTGTATCGTCTTCCTCCAGAGCAACACCCGACTCTTGGACTGGCTGGATCAGTGCCGTTCAGTGCGAACGGGCAACGCCCGTGTTGACGCCCATTGCCTGCCCTCTACGCTGGGGGAGGAGTCAGCGGACTTGGTGGAGCGATTCAGGAGGCAAGGTCTGCAGCAATACCATAGGATCCTAAAACTGTGCCGGGCCCACGACGTTCCCCTGACGGAGGAGCTGCTGGAAAAAGGTGAGAACTGAAGATAATAAAACATTTTAAAATGTTGATACTGGAAGATGTCATGGCGAGGCTCCGCCCACCATGAATAAATTGAAGTTCTGCAGTGGAAAGCATGCCAAATCACCTCTCCACCTCACGTAATCCTCCATGACATAACGACTTACCCTTCCCCCAAGAACAACAGCTCCCTGCAAACATTTAATCTGTCCCGTAACTTCACCCCCCAATCCTAACTTCCCTTCCCCTTCATCGAGGTTGTTAATGAAATTTCCTTTCCATTTTCATCACATATCCTTTTTAAGACTCAGTGATGTTATCACTGGGTCCCTGTGCTTCCCTATGCAAATGCAAGCAGATCATGGCTGGTGGGAGGGGCCAGGAGGGTGCTGTACATATGAGTGTCTCACCAGAGAGGGGGAGCGTCTGACCAGAGAGGAGGTGTGTCTGACCAGAGAGGGGGAGTGTCTAATCAGATAGGGGGAGTGTTTGACCAGAGAGAGGAGGAGTGTCTGACCAGAGAGGAGGAGTGTCTAATCAGAGAGAGGAGGAGTGTCTGATCAGAGAGGGGGAGTGTTTGACCAGAGAGAGGAGGAGTGTCTGATCAGAGAGGGGGAGTGTTTGACCAGAGAGAGGAGGAGTGTCTGATCAGAGAGGGGGAGTGTTTGACCAGAGAGAGGAGGAGTGTCTGATCAGAGAGGGGGAGTGTTTGACCAGAGAGAGGAGGAGTGTCTGATCAGAGAGGGGGAGTGTTTGACCAGAGAGAGGAGGAGTGTCTGATCAGAGAGGGGGAGTGTTTGACCAGAGAGAGGAGGAGTGTCTGATCAGAGAGGGGGAGTGTTTGACCAGAGAGAGGAGGAGTGTCTGATCAGAGAGGGGGAGTGTTTGACCAGAGAGAGGAGGAGTGTCTGATCAGAGAGGGGGAGTGTTTGACCAGAGAGAGGAGGAGTGTCTGATCAGAGAGGGGGAGTGTTTGACCAGAGAGAGGAGGAGTGTCTGATCAGAGAGGGGGAGTGTTTGACCAGAGAGAGGAGGAGTGTCTGATCAGAGAGGGGGAGTGTTTGACCAGAGAGAGGAGGAGTGTCTGATCAGAGAGGGGGAGTGTTTGACCAGAGAGAGGAGGAGTGTCTGATCAGAGAGGGGGAGTGTTTGACCAGAGAGAGGAGGAGTGTCTGATCAGAGAGGGGGAGTGTTTGACCAGAGAGAGGAGGAGTGTCTGATCAGAGAGGGGGAGTGTTTGACCAGAGAGAGGAGGAGTGTCTGATCAGAGAGGGGGAGTGTTTGACCAGAGAGAGGAGGAGTGTCTGATCAGAGAGGGGGAGTGTTTGACCAGAGAGAGGAGGAGTGTCTGATCAGAGAGGGGGAGTGTTTGACCAGAGAGAGGAGGAGTGTCTGATCAGAGAGGGGGAGTGTTTGACCAGAGAGAGGAGGAGTGTCTGATCAGAGAGGGGGAGTGTTTGACCAGAGAGAGGAGGAGTGTCTGATCAGAGAGGGGGAGTGTTTGACCAGAGAGAGGAGGAGTGTCTGATCAGAGAGGGGGAGTGTTTGACCAGAGAGAGGAGGAGTGTCTGATCAGAGAGGGGGAGTGTTTGACCAGAGAGAGGAGGAGTGTCTGATCAGAGAGGGGGAGTGTTTGACCAGAGAGAGGAGGAGTGTCTGATCAGAGAGGGGGAGTGTTTGACCAGAGAGAGGAGGAGTGTCTGATCAGAGAGGGGGAGTGTTTGACCAGAGAGAGGAGGAGTGTCTGATCAGAGAGGGGGAGTGTTTGACCAGAGAGAGGAGGAGTGTCTGATCAGAGAGGGGGAGTGTTTGACCAGAGAGAGGAGGAGTGTCTGATCAGAGAGGGGGAGTGTTTGACCAGAGAGAGGAGGAGTGTCTGATCAGAGAGGGGGAGTGTTTGACCAGAGAGAGGAGGAGTGTCTGATCAGAGAGGGGGAGTGTTTGACCAGAGAGAGGAGGAGTGTCTGATCAGAGAGGGGGAGTGTTTGACCAGAGAGAGGAGGAGTGTCTGATCAGAGAGGGGGAGTGTTTGACCAGAGAGAGGAGGAGTGTCTGATCAGAGAGGGGGAGTGTTTGACCAGAGAGAGGAGGAGTGTCTGATCAGAGAGGGGGAGTGTTTGACCAGAGAGAGGAGGAGTGTCTGATCAGAGAGGGGGAGTGTTTGACCAGAGAGAGGAGGAGTGTCTGATCAGAGAGGGGGAGTGTTTGACCAGAGAGAGGAGGAGTGTCTGATCAGAGAGGGGGAGTGTTTGACCAGAGAGAGGAGGAGTGTCTGATCAGAGAGGAGGAGTGTCAGACTAGAGAGGGGGAGTGTCTGATCAGAGAGGAGGAGTGTCTGACTAGAGAGGGGGAGTGTCTGATCAGTTAGGGGGAGTGTTTGACCAGAGAGAGGGGGTATCTGACCAGAGAGGAGGAGTGTCTAATCAGAGAGAGGAGGAGTGTCTGATCAGAGAGGGGGAGTGTCTGATCAGAGAGGAGGAGTGTCTGACTAGAGAGGGGGAGTGTCTGATCAGAGAGGAGGAGTGTCTGACTAGAGAGGGGGAGTGTCTGATCAGAGAGGAGGAGTGTCTGACTAGAGAGGGGGAGTGTCTGATCAGAGAGGAGGAGTGTCTGACTAGAGAGGGGGAGTGTCTGATCAGAGAGGAGGAGTGTCTGACTAGAGAGGGGGAGTGTCTGATCAGAGAGGAGGAGTGTCTGACTAGAGAGGGGGAGTGTCTGATCAGAGAGGAGGAGTGTCTGACTAGAGAGGGGGAGTGTCTGATCAGAGAGGAGGAGTGTCTGACTAGAGAGGGGGAGTGTCTGATCAGAGAGGAGGAGTGTCTGACTAGAGAGGGGGAGTGTCTGATCAGAGAGGAGGAGTGTCTGACTAGAGAGGGGGAGTGTCTGATCAGAGAGGAGGAGTGTCTGACTAGAGAGGGGGAGTGTCTGATCAGAGAGGAGGAGTGTCTGACTAGAGAGGGGGAGTGTCTGATCAGAGAGGAGGAGTGTCTGACTAGAGAGGGGGAGTGTCTGATCAGAGAGGAGGAGTGTCTGACTAGAGAGGGGGAGTGTCTGATCAGAGAGGAGGAGTGTCTGACTAGAGAGGGGGAGTGTCTGATCAGAGAGGAGGAGTGTCTGACTAGAGAGGGGGAGTGTCTGATCAGAGAGGAGGAGTGTCTGACTAGAGAGGGGGAGTGTCTGATCAGAGAGGAGGAGTGTCTGACTAGAGAGGGGGAGTGTCTGATCAGAGAGGAGGAGTGTCTGACTAGAGAGGGGGAGTGTCTGATCAGAGAGGAGGAGTGTCTGACTAGAGAGGGGGAGTGTCTGATCAGAGAGGAGGAGTGTCTGACTAGAGAGGGGGAGTGTCTGATCAGAGAGGAGGAGTGTCTGACTAGAGAGGGGGAGTGTCTGATCAGAGAGGAGGAGTGTCTGACTAGAGAGGGGGAGTGTCTGATCAGAGAGGAGGAGTGTCTGACTAGAGAGGGGGAGTGTCTGATCAGAGAGGAGGAGTGTCTGACTAGAGAGGGGGAGTGTCTGATCAGAGAGGAGGAGTGTCTGACTAGAGAGGGGGAGTGTCTGATCAGAGAGGAGGAGTGTCTGACTAGAGAGGGGGAGTGTCTGATCAGAGAGGAGGAGTGTCTGACTAGAGAGGGGGAGTGTCTGATCAGAGAGGAGGAGTGTCTGACTAGAGAGGGGGAGTGTCTTGCCAGAGAGGGAGAGTGTCTGAGCAGATAGGGGGGGTGTCTGACCAGGTTGGTTAGATTACAGGCTGCACTGGATAGCTCAGTCAATGCGTCATGCAGCCACACATGCACAGTACTACATTAAATGCATTCTCTTCTCTTCACGCAGCCTTACTATATCCTGGAGACAAGCTGATTCGTGAATCGGGAGATCAGCTTCCCCTCCGACAGCCGGGCGTAGGGCTTTCATCCAAAGACAGATTCGTGAAGAAGATCTCTGCAACACAGGAACCCGAAGGAAGACACGGCGTGGACGAGGATCCAGACAGATCTCCCGGACTCTGGTGAGCGGCCCGGTGCACTTTGTAGATGGGGGTCAAACCCGGAAGCAGTTCATTGTATACAGGGCAGTAAATGTCAGCATGGTGTCCTCCTGGTGTCTCATCTCCTTCTATTCTCCTCCATGGTGTGTTGTTCAGCAGCGGCCCGTACCCTCCCCACACCTACGTGGCCTGGGTGAGAACCAAAGTGAGGGGGAAGAAGAGATCCGGGACAGAGACTCTGAGGTGCTGGACCACATTCGAGCAGTTCCAGGAGATGAGCGGGTGAGTCGAATGGACCGAACATGACCCATGTCCCCCATGTGGACCCCGGCACTCACTGTTTGGGTACCCCAGGGCCAGACTCTGCACCCCAGGTTTCCCCTAAACCTAACATATGACTTCTGGGGAGACTGACTCAAATAAAAGCACAAAATCTAAAAGAAATCATATCAGGCAAATCTCTGCAATATACGCACAACGCCCGCTTGGTCTATCTCTTTAAAATCCAGTGAGCTCCTGACTTCCTGTAATGAGATGACAACACAGAGCCTTTGCTGCACTGAAATCACAAGCAGAGTTGTCAGCTTTGCCCAGTTCTCCTCTGCTGAACTATAGGACTCCTCCTTATGTTATAGAAATGAGAGGGGGGTTCTGTAGTCCAAGAGGAAAGGACTAGATGATGCTGGACATCCTTCAGCCAGGAAAGGAGGCGGGCTCTATCTGACTTGCTGCAGCATGTAATGTCATTGTGAGAAACTCCCTGTGTGCAGTGATATCAGAGGAAGCCATTTCAGTCCAGAAGAGGAGCCGGTACAACTGCGCAAGGCTGGAGTGGAAGGCTGGAGTTCAGCTTTGCATGGAAGTAATAGATTCACCACTAGTGAATGTTTGGTGAAAGTCACATTTACATCTAAAAAGAAAAGAAAGACATAAGAGACATATCTTGTTCATTTTCTGTTTGATTTGCAGGAACCTGAAGCGGAGATTCCCCCATTGCTTCTTCACCTCTGACGACAATAATATCCCATATTTCTCTTATTTTTTTAAATAAATGTTTATTAAATTATTTTTTATTAGTTATCTATTCCCAATAAATAGAAGTGATATCAAAATGTCATTGTATAACAAAGCCAGCCTCATATTATTATTATACAGGATTTATATAGCGCCAACAGTTTGCACAGCGCTTTACAATATAAGGAAGACATTACACTCACAATACAAATCAAGACCAGATGGTAAGGAGGGCTTAAAGAAGAACTATCCCCCCCCCCCCTCATAGTTCTCCTTTAAAGAGACAGTGATCAGGTAGTGTACAATGTAACAGTTCCCAAATCTTTAGAATTTAGGCAAAGACTCATTCACACAGGCACGCACGCCCACGCAGAGACCTGCTCCCAGGAGGGACAGGTACTACATGAAGATGCCTCTACCTCCCTATGGACCTGAACCTGCACAATAATGTTTTGGGGGTTTTAAGTAATCTTTGGGCCTAAAATAGGCATTTTATCATGCGTGCACAAAAAAAAAAATTATATACACACACACTATATTGCCAACAGTATTGGGCTCCTCCCCGTCCAAATCATTGGATTCAGATGTTCCATGACATTTCCTGGCTACTAAATATTCCGCGGTCACCTGTTACTGGGATTATAACAAAGTGGAAGCAACTGGGAACAACAGCAACTCAGCCAGGAAGTGGTCGGCCACGTAAAATGACAGAGCGGGGTCAGCGCATGCTGAAGCGCACAGTGCGCAGAAGTCACCAACTGTCTGCAGAGTCAATAGCTACAGACCTCCAAACTCCGTCAGATTGGCACAACAACAGTGCGTAGAGAGCTTCATGGAATGGGTTTCCATGGCCGAGCAGCTGCATCCAAGCCGCACATCACCAAGTGCAATGCAAAGCGTGGGATGCCGTGGTGTAACGCACGCCGCCACTGGACTCTAGAGAAGTGGAGACGTGTTCTCTGGAGTGACCAATCACGCTTCTCTGTCTGGCAATCCGATGGACGTGTCTGGGTTTGGCGGTTGCCATGAGAAGGGTACTTGCCTGACTGCGTTGTGTAAAGTATGGGGGAGTCTTTCTTCCGCAGACGAGCTCTATGGGGATGCTGACTTAATTTTCCAGCAGGACTTGGCACCTGACCACACTGCCAAAAAATTTCTGAGATTGTGGATCTGGGTTTTCATGAGCTGTAAGCCATAATCATCACAATGATGACAAATCACGGCTTGAACTATCTTGCTTTGCATGTAATGAGTCTCTCTCATATATTAGTTTCACCTTTTAAGTTGCATTAGTGAAATAAATGAACTTTTGCACAATATTCAAATTTTTCGAGTTTCACTGTATATAAAACATAAAAAGGCTCCAGCAGCGAATAAGTTAATACCATAGTTTCACACAGGACCTGCAGTACCTCCAGGTGCAGCTAATGCGATGGCGCTATAACCCTCCCCGGAAGTCGTCAGAATCTTCTTTATCTGGCCTATCCGCTCAAGCTCTCTCTCTTCCTCGGGCTGTCTGCGAAGGAGGCAGACGCACCGAACCGGTGAGTGAATCTTCTTCCATCCACAGGTTATCGTCCGCTATACAGGCTGTTAGTGACACCGGCCTGTCGGGGGGTCTTCAGAAGACGACTGCGAGACGGTATTTGTGGGAAAACCGGGCTGGCGGCTCAGATACCGAATGTGTTATGTCACCTCTTGTTGTTGGGTTTAGGCCGGGAAAAAAAGTATGGCGGCCGGTGCGGGACACGGGTCTGCGTTTCTCTACGCACACAGCGCTGGAGGGACCCTGGGGGTAGGATTGGACTATAAGGCCCAGCATGCTGAAGCTGTGACTAGACAATTCTGTTACTGGGCTGGAGGAATATTTAGCAAGTGGGGCGACATTTTAAGTACTGTGCTGATCGACGGGGCTTCCTGGTATGGAACTACTACTCCCAGCATGCTTGCACGGAGCTCCTGTTGGGGGGGTGGATAATGTTCATTTACTAGAAGTAGTGTGCTCTCAGATCAGGCTTGCTGTTGCTGAACTACTACCCCCAGCATGCTCACACAGCCAGGGTTCTGTATAAATCTGGCTGCCCATAGTACAATCTTCTTTTACATCTGCCAGTAACGATGTATCTGCTGATTGGATACAATTTGGACACATTTGCATTGCCCAGAGGTGGGCAAGTGTGGTCGGAATACAAATCCCATCATTCCTGTGGCTGCTATGCCTCATGGGACTTGTAGTCCCACAACATCTCGAGTGCTGATATTGCCCACCCCTGTATAAGCTACACAATGTTGCATGTCTTGGGCAGGCATGGGGTGCCTGGTGCAGGTATTTGTGGTGATGCCGATGTGCATGCTTCCCGTCCTGATGGGTTTTGGAGGCGGTTCGGTGTTTGCAGCTTGGGGGGGAGGCGTGGGGTCCACACATCACCATTGTCATGTGGTATCTTCCATCCTCCATCTTGTCTGTGAACGTACATGAAGATCCTTTCTGTTTCTGGCGTTCTTACAGAACTTCCACCGGCCTGCTGGAATCCTCCCGGAAGTATCCAAACCGGCTGCATGGCTGCCATTTTTTTGTCCCCCTTCTTTTTTTTTTTTTTTTTTTTTTTAAACAAGCTTTATTGCAAGTAGGAATGCAGCAACACCGGGTTTTCAGTATCGAGTACTGATATTTATCTTTTGGCACCGGTACTTCTGCTAGCATGGAGCCGGCTTCCCGGGCAATCAGGAAGCCGGGCGGCGTGTCATTACCCGCTGCCCGGCTTGAATGGCCCGGGAGGCTGGACTCCTAGCCGATACCTTTTTTGAAGCGCTGGAATATTTACTTGTCAACTAGTGCGGGTTCTGTCCAGGTCCAGCCTTGCTGTCTGTACTTCTGTATGAGGCTGTGGCGTTGGTTGCCGTTGCACATCTCCCATTATGCTTCCTGTGGTTTTGTAATGTTAAGCATCGAGCCGGACCAGACCAATCGGGAAGGTTAGTCATTACCTACCGCCCGGCTTTCTGATTGTCCCACCCAATCAGCATTGAGACAGCATAGAGCCGGCTTTCTGATTGTCCCACCCAATCAGCATTGAGACAGCATAGAGCCGGCTTTCTGATTGTCCCACCCAATCAGCATTGAGACAGCATAGAGCCGGCTTTCTGATTGGCCGGGAAGCCGGCTCGATGCTCAACATTACAAAACCACAAGAAGCATAATGGGAGGTGATGTGCAGCGGCAACAAACCAGTGTCTCAGCGTGGACACAACCCGCACTGGTTGACAAGTAAATATTCCAGCGCTTACAATGGTATTGGCTTGAAAGCCTGGCTCCTGGCCAATCAACATTGATCCAGACAAACTCCATGGAGCCGGCTTCCTGGGCAATCAAGACGCTGGGCGGCAGGTAATGACACGCCGCCCGGCTTCCTGATTGCCTTGGAAGCCGGCTCTATGCTGTCTAGCCGGCCACTCGGCATGGAGCCGGCTGTTTGGTTGGGGTGTAGGCTTCCCGGCCAATCAACATGGTGGCCTTCCTGGCCAATCAGGAAGCCGGGTGGTGAGTCATTACCGGCCGGCTTCCTCATTGGCCAGGAAGCCGGCTCCATGTTCCCTCACCGCACTGCCGGTCAGAGGAAATCTTCCTCTGACCGGAAGCTCAGATATAGGCGCATTTGAGTGAGTACTTGCCCAAATCCTCGGTATCAGTGCATCCCTAATTGTTGGGGATGCCAGATCGTGGCACATGGCTTGCCGCTGGACCCTTTGCCTACACCTTTGAGGTGTTTCTCCGCAGTAGGGTTCCAGTCCTGACCAAGTCCCCACTGGGGAGAAACGTTGAGCGATGTGCCACGGGCGGCCTTTGTGCGTTTGCATCACTTGCAATAAAGTTGTTTGATTTAGCGCCCAGCTCTGGCTTTTTTTGCTTGCCTCAGTTTCTAACTACAGCCAGCGGCCGCATGGGAGATGATCTCAGCATGTAGTTTTCCCGTCCTCCAGAATCTGGCCCGTGGGGCGCCCTGTGCTCCATCCGGTTGTATTATTGGAGGGAGAAGAAAATTGCAGGGTTTTTACCCATTCCGTGGCTGGGTCCTGGTGCTAGCCGGCGGAAGATGCTCTGCCACATTTCAGACGAAGGAAATCCTAAGGTCGGGGAATTCTGGATTTTGAGGGTTTGGAAGTATCCGGCTTTAAATTGGTAGTAAAGGCTTTTCATTCAGAAGACGCCCCGCTACCTTACCGTGCCCCCCAAACCATTACCTATACTCCACCGCCGGCCGCTCCCAGACCATTTGCCCCCCGAAGTTCCCGGTTGAGAGGAGGGATCCCGAGTCCACAGAGCAGGGCAGCGATAGGCTGCTGCACCTGCCCATCAAAATACTGTACGGGAACAGGGGTGTGTGTGGCTTGGTCATTACTATGTGTCATTGGACGCACACAACCAGGAGCATGCACTGGTGGCACCACAAAATAGCTTTTAGGTTGGTGTCGGAGCTTTCATGGCATCAAGGCTTGGAGAACAGCTTATGGCTGCTAGGCTTGAGCACTGCGTCATTGGGTGTCATGACATGCTCCCCCATATACGCACATGCATTGTGTATGTTGCTGAGCACTGCGTCATTGGATGCCATGACATGCTCCCCCATACCCACATGCATTGTGTATGTTGCTGAGCACTGCGTCATTGGATGTCATGACATGCTCCCCCATACCCACATGCATTGTGTATGTTGCTGAGCACTGCGTCATTGGATGTCATGACATGCTCCCCCATACCCACATGCATTGTATGTTGCTGAGCAATGCGTCATTGGATGTCATGACATGCTCCCCCATACCCACATGCAATGAAAGGGGGCAGCCCTATGGAGGTGTTGGGCAAGGTGGCTGGGTCTCTAACAATCATAGGTGGGCAGCAGCTATGGCGTTCCTTTCGGGTCCGTCCACCGCCATTTTATCTTGCAGTCCACTTCCCTTTCTCAGTGGTTGGGGGGGGAAGACTTTTGGCTACTGAAGCAACCCTCAAAATCCATAATTTGGTGTTCCTAGCCTCCTTGAATCGTTGTCCCCATCTAAGTCACTCTCTTTCTTCCCCAGGCACCATGGTGGCTCTAAGACCTCTCAGAAAGCCCAAGATTGTCAAGAAGCGGACGAAGAAGTTCATCCGCCACCAGTCAGACCGTTATGTCAAGATTAAGGTTGGTGATGTGGCGTGTTCTCTGTAGGCTCCCTTGCTGGGCTGACGCATTACCCGTGACTGACGTTCTGCTTTCCTCTTCCAGCCAAACTGGCGCAAACCCAGAGGTATCGACAACAGAGCCCGCAGGAGGTTCAAGGGTCAGGTCCTGATGCCCAACATTGGTTACGGTAGCAACAAGAAAACCAAACACATGCTGCCCACCGGGTTCAAGAAGTTCCTTGTACACAATATAAAGGAACTGGAAGTTCTAATGATGAGCAACAAGTGAGTAGTGATTGAGCCGATATCGTATGACTAGAAGGAGCTTTCCTCTGCTGTCGCACAGCTGTGTGATCCGGAGTAGAATGCGGGGCCCGGTCCATCGTGTTCTGCTGGTTGCTGCTTTTAGCAAAGCTCTGTGCTGATCAGTTGAGACGGCCAAAGTTCTGCTGGTTTTGTGGTGTTGGCCGTCTTGGCTTGCCAGGTCTGAAGCCTTAGAGCACACGTGTCAAACTCAAGGCCCAGGGGCCGAATCCGGCCCACCAGGCCCTTTCCTAGACTTCTACTTTCAGATCTAGTTATTAAGTTATTACTAAAACCGGTGATAATGGAATGCAGAGGCAATTATGATAAAGATTAGATCCATTTATGTAGTCTTACAGATACCTTGAGGGCAACCATATGTTGATGCGGCCCACGATTACATTGAGTTTGACACCCCTGCCTTAGAGGATCAGAGGCAGGCCGCACAAAGATAGCTACTCCAGAATACACTGCTTCATGGGAACATGCCATCTTTATTTGGTTGGGATGGAGGCGCTAGCTCATGTGAGGTGAAACTGGATATCAGACTTGAGTTTCATCTCCTAATGCGAGATTCACTTCATTCCCCCATTCTATTAAAGGAGAACTATGAGGAGTGCTTTTCACTCACTTCATAGTTCTAGCCGACCTGTGACAATTAAACTGTCACAGGTCGGCTCAGTAGATCGGGAAGTGAGCGAACATATACAGTCGCTCGCTCTCTTCTCGATCTATCTGTGCGGAGAGCCGTGACTGTCACTCACGGCTCCCTGCAGGGATTTCGCCTTCCCTGTCCGATCCTCCAGTGCTGACTGGCGGAACGAGAGGGGCGGGTACAGCTGGCTCTGCCTCTAGATAGGCAGAGCCAGCTGTCAATCACGCAGCCTGGTGGATCCAGACAGAATTGTCGGGATCCGTTCTGGCTGCGGCGTCTCGGTATACTGAGCTTAGGGTGACGGGAGGACGCTAGTTTGTGTCCTCCCATTACCCTTAGGAGAACTATGGGGAAAAGCCCTCACCCCATAGTTCTCCTTTAAGAGAAATCATTTCCTTGTTCAGTTTCCAGTGCGGCTGTGTAACAATCTAACAGTGTTTCTCTCAGGTCACTTCTGGTGGAATTGGCAATAAGTGACACTAAACTCAGGAGGTAAAGCTTAAAAAATACATTCAAGTCCCTCAACTCTGAACAACAATGCATCTTATTTGTGTATCACTCGGCTGTAGATTCTCCAATCATCTCTGAATTGGGGCTGACACTGTCCTTCCTTCTGGAGGGGGGCTACGTCTGTTCCCCATGGTCCCTGTGTGTTGTAAAGTAGTCACCCCTCCAAGCTCGCTCCCGGGGATGGCCTGCAACCTCAATACAAATGAGTAAACTAAACCTGAGATTGTAGTCCATCCCGGGAGCGAGCTTGGAGGGGTGACTACTTTACAACACACAGGGACCATGGGGAACAGACGTAGCCCCCCTCCAGAAGGAAGGACAGTGTCAGCCCCAATTCAGAGATGCTTGGAGGATCTACAGCCGAGTGATACACAAATAAGATGCATTGTTGTTCATAGTTGAGAGTTTTTAGTGTCACTTTAAGTTGGGCATCCTCCTTGCTGCTGAATGAAGAGATCTGATCGCGTGTCGTGGTCATTCTAACACTTGGCATGTATTTGTTCTGTGGTGAACTACAAATCCCATGATGCATCTCTCTTCGGGAGTCGTCTGTGGTTGTGAGAATCTTGCAATGCCTCATTGGATTTGTAGTTCCACCACAGCTGGAGGGCCGGAGGTTTTCTACCCCTGGGTTAAAGACTTCCTATATCCCTCAATGGACTCCTAGAAAAGCATTGTATTTTTGTACTCGCTGTAAAATCTTTTTCCTGGAGTCCATTGAAGGACACAGATCCCAGTCTCTGTGTTTGAATGTTCTCTATACTGCTTTGCTTCATAGGCGTGCTGGTATTTGGGGGGTATCCTAGGCTGGCCTGCAGTTTGCTAGTGTCCAATCCTCCTGCAGGCAGCAGTATAACCCGAAAGTTAAAGACTTCCCACATTCCTCAATGGACTCCTAGAAAATGATTGAGGACAAAAATTCCTATTTCATCTTTTCATCCTTGTCGGTCTTCCCCGCTGGCTGTAATTATGTCTCAAATTCTACACTTGTGATATATCTGATTTTTTTTATAGACGGATCTTCTGTTTTCTTTACGGCTTTGATTGATAAGTTGTACCCTAATGAGATGTATTTCCCCTCCAGGTCATTCTGTGCTGAAATCGCTCACAACGTCTCCTCTAAGAACCGCAAGACCATTGTAGAAAGAGCAGCACAGCTCGCCATCAAGGTGACAAACCCCAACGCCAGACTGCGCAGCGAGGAGAACGAATAAACGTCTGTAACCTTTGTTAAATAAAATGAAAAGTGAATTTTGGGCTCTCCTGCGTTTCTTTATGTAGTCGGTGCGAGTGTTCTGAGCGCGGTGTCTTGAGTTGTGTTATTAGATGCGTCGGGTCCATAAGATTGTAGAAGGACGTTCATTCCCTTATGTGGACTCTTCAATGTTCTGGGTTCAAACAGATGAACAAATCCCAGGAGCCGGGTCACCAGTGCTCTTTAATAATGACCACTGGTTCTGAGGTTTTCTCTAGTTGCTGTCAATGGACCTGGTAACAAAGAAAATCCTGTCGGCTCCTGGATTGGACTGACTGGCTCCTGAATGTCTTGTTAATTTGCTCACGCCTGGTTTCAAATAAGGTTGGGTAGGTAAATTTGGCTGCTAAACCAGTTTCCAGCAAACCCAGCTACATTACACTAACATATTAGAACTCTTCGCTGGCTCCAATTTGCCCAACTTGTAAAGTTGGGGTGGGGAGGGGGTTGTTTTCCGGGAGTTGGGCTCCGCCCCTTAGTTCCAGTGAAGGGAACTCTTAAGGCAGTGATGGCGAACCTTTTTTGAGCCGGAGTGCCCAAACTGGATCACTAAACCAACTTATGTATCTCAAAGTGCCAACCCTTCAATTAGACCTGAATACCCTCAGGGGGGCTCTGCAGTTCTGAGGTGGTGTGTACGGGCTCTCTGGGGGGCTGTGTGGGCTCTCTGGGGGTCTATAATGGCTTTCAGGTGGTTTATATGGGCTCTCTGTGGGGCTATTCTGCATTGCTGTATAATTATCATACAGCGATGCAGAATACCACCAGCTATGCGGGACTTCAAGTCCCAGCAATGCATTACAATGAAAGTCAGCACTACACAGCAGAGGCATAACTAGAAACATAGTCTTCTCTGCAGCAATAATGTATTATTGCTGCGGGGAAGGGGGGCAATTATCATCGCTGCCTGGGGGAGAATTGTTTTTAGGCAGTAGTTAATTTAAAAAAAAAACATGCAGCAATAATCACCCCCCTTACAGCAATAATTTATCCTTGGGGTAGATTAATACTGCAGCCGGGACAGAAACTACTATTGGTTATTACCGTATTTGCTGGCGTATAAGACGGCCCACCACTTTTTGTGTAAAAAAAAATATAGGTTTTGGGCTATACTCGTCATATAATGTTTAAATGCACCCACTAACATCCATGGCGGTATTCCCGAGTGTGGCTCGGGGTTAATTTTCAGTACCATAAGCAGTAACCCCGAGCCACACTCAGGAATACAGTCTCTTACCTTGTCCACTATCCCCGCTGTGTCCTCCGTCTTCTGCTGAGCCAATCACGGCAGGCTTTGTATTTATGAATACAGGCTTTGAATACTTGTCGGCTGCCGCAGCTCTCCGTGTTCCTCCGTGGCAGCTGAAAATGGTGAAATAGTCCCCTCTCCTGTCAGTTCAGCAGGGGAGAGAGGGAACTACTAATTGGACTGGGACCGCTATCGCTGCGGACCTGGGCTCGCGTGCCATAGGTTCGCCACCGCTGTCTTAACGCATCAGCACACCAAGACATTTTGGACAATTTCATGCTCCCAACTTTGTGGGAGGAGTTTGGGGACGGCCCCTTCCTGTCCCAACATGACTGTGCACCAAGCAAGGTCCATAAAGACATGGATGGGGGAGTTTGGGGGGAGGAACGTGACTGGATGCACAGAGTCCTGACCTCAACCCCATAGAACATCTTTGGGATGAATTAGAGCGGAGACTGCGAGCCCGGCCTCCTCCCCCAACATCAGTACCTGACCTCACAAATGGTCCAACATTCCCATAGACACACTCCTAAACCTTGTGGACGCCTTCCCAGAAGAGTTGAAGCTGTTATAGCGGCAAAGGGCGGAGCCAACCCAATACTGAACCCTACGGACTAAGACTGGGATGCCATCAAAGTTCATGTGCGTGTAAAGGTGTCCCAATACTTTTGGTAATATAGTGTAGCTGTTTTTACTACCATGAACTCATCCCACACTATTACCTTTTTGTATCTCTTGGCCCTTCCACTAAATTTAAAGCTCACAAGCAGGGCCCTCCTATATTGAAATTGTAACTGCACCATACTTCCCTCCTATTTTGTAAAGCGCTGTGCAAACTGTTGGCGCTATATAAATCCTGTATAATTTACTCGGGCATTGTGAAAAGAACAGATACCTGTGTTTCTTCTGCTGGAGCAAATGTTTTAACACAGTTTTTGGGGTTTTATTTTTGTAGCCCTCATGTTCATGGAGCCAATACTCGGCGCATGCATTGGCACAGCTATAGAGCACAAAAATAGAAACGTGTGCTCTGCCCCTTGAGTGCCATGCGGCAACCTTTGGGCTTGTGCCAATGGCATTGGTTTGAGATCAGTTGAAGACGCTTCTGAGGGTGTAATTGACCAAATCCTCACCTGTTTCAAGCGGGTTTCACATCCTCATAGACTAATATAGGGATGCAAACAAAAGCCTCCTGACTTAGGTCTCATTCACACCTAGGTGTATTGCATATGCGCTGTAAAAAGTTGCGTGACAAACGCGCGTTTCCGAAGGCTACTTGGCTGTATCCCAATGGAAACGCGCAAACAAAACGGCCCAAAGTAGTACCTGTACCTTTTCAGGCGTGGGCCGTTTTGTAGCGCGTTAGGGACGGGCGGAAATACGCCAAGGTGTGAACCAGACCCATTGAATACAATGGGATTTATATTTTTGAGCGTTCGTCGCGCGTAGAACGCGCTACAAAACGTTCAGGTGTGAACGAGGGCTTAGGCTTCCGAGGCATAAAAGGCTCGCTCCAGACAAACCCAGTGCCCCCCTCCTGTCTCCAACCCCCCTCTGTCTCTCGCCCCTGGGACTACAACTGTTTGGATTCCCTTATCCGGGTAGTCCTCAACCCCCCTGACATAACTTTATCCCGAGGGACCTGGTGACCATACACCCACAAGTTTACACCACCAGACAAAAAAAACACTGTCTCCTTGTTCCTCTGCTACCTTTGTATGCATCTCAATGCTGATTACTGTGTCTTATACCTGATATGCTGCTGAAAACTTAATAAAAACTTTGAAACGAAAAAAAAGCCTCCTGACAGAGGTCCTTTAATTCACCCAGCAGCTGTGTGTGTGTGTGTGTGTGTGTCTACATCTGGTGCAATCACAAGGACACAATCCGGTATAACCCGAGATATTGCATACAAAGAAGGTTCCTATAGAGGCCGTGTGAAGTGAATTGCAGCACATGTTGTATACGGGATCTTACCCCCAGTAAGATCTGTGGGGATTATCCTGAAATGCGAAGCTCGAGGTTCACTGTTCTGATCAGATTACCAACTGAATAAAAATAAACCGGCACAAAACTTTTATTTCACAGCAAAAGCTGCTACAAAAACCTTTTACACTTCAATTCAGACACAGGCAGCTCCTGCTGAACTGCAAGTCCCAGCAGGCAGGGTTTTCCTTCTAAATTTGCACAGATTTGTAATGGTTAAATTATCTTGAGGATGGGAATATGAATGCTGCCATTGCCAGCTTGGTTTTTATAGGTGAAGTCATGCTATGTGGCGGCGGCTTCCATATTTGTATCCTTGCAGATTAACCATCTCAGACCCAAAACTCAAATCCCGGCTCAGAGGCTTTATACAGGTCGTGGGTTGGATCCAGCACGGGTGTGACAATTAGAACCAAGAAGGGGCAATCTGATCTAACACAGCATCAGCAGAAGCTACAATGTGATTGGCTGGATTGTGCAAATCCTCTGCATGCAGCCCCCAAACCTAACAGTTGGATCTTGGCATGCCCCACATCCCACAATGCCATGTATTTGTCTCTGGCAGTACCGGTAATAGGCATGCTGGAACGTGGGGCATGTCTGGAACTTGGAAGTTTAAATTTGCACACTGAGCCTCTAGTTTTGGGGGTTGCGCAGAAAGATTGCAGGGTGGTAGAGTACAGGCCTCTCGTGTCTGCTGTATTTCGGACTGCCATCTCTTAACTGAGGCAAGATCACAACACTCCTATAGAACAAGACAGCGCTGTTCTGGATTGTACTCACTGGCAATAGAATGGCTTTGTGTCTCCTTCTGTAGCTCCTCAGAAGTTTTGGGATTCAGATGTACAGCTGTCAGAGTCTGCATAAGATCGGCATTGGTAAACAGATCAGTACTTGCAAGTTCTTAGCTCAGGTCCATAATCTCTGTGCTGCACATGGACATGGAGTCTTTCTGGATACTCTCAAACAGGGAAGCCAGCTCGGGGTTGGCTCTGATCTGGGACAGGAACTCTGCCATGGTTTGGCTGTTCTGCACCTCCGGGATAGTGAGGAGAGCAGTGATGGTTCTCAGGGCCGAACGCTTCAGCTCATCCTGTTTCTCAAACTCTTGTTTCACAGAGCCGGCCTTCACCTAGAAGCAGAAAGTGAATGGTCTTGTTATTGCAGGTACGTCGATCAGAGAATGGCTAATCATGCACTGGATGAGAGGACACCAGATGCCATGTAAAAGATAAGCAAGACTTGTCTGCAGCCACTTTGCTCGCTTCAAGAGCCATGGCCACCACAGGCATCCAACCTTCTCTGGTGTGTTGGATGACTGGTCCCCCTGCTGGGAGCTGTGGTTCCATCTGCCAGTCACTATAGAACACAGCTATGTTGGGGCTGGTGAGTTACACCAATGTGTAGAGGGGGACTAGATGTCACCCGTTGAGGCCTATGGTGGCCTCACGAGCTCTCTGCTCCCGCTCCATGTAGATGTATATCCAATCCAATTAAATATTGGAGTCACTGGACAGGGATATACACTGAGTGGCCAGATTATTATGACCACCTGACGTTTGTAGGCAGATTAGCTATAATTTGGCGCTGAAGTTGCTAGAGGGCCAGACCATTATAGATAGGGAAGCGGGTTGTTTACCACGACAGTAGAAGTGATTTGTTTCTGAAGATTCGGGGAAACAACGCGATCTAACAGCCTTTGAACGCGGGATGATTGTTGGCGCTCGGAGCCATGGAGCGAGTATCAGCAAAACAGCAGAAT